AGCGCTATTTGTGTGCCGCTTCGGGTTTTTCGCATACTTTTAACATTTCATTTTTCTAGATTTTGAATCCCACACTCCTTTTGTAATGCGTCGCAGATTTCTTTGATAGTGGTTATCTCGTCTAGGTCCTTGCACATAATGGTAACATTTTGTGTTTTTGGCTGTATTACCGCCATCTCACCAATCACTCCATCTAGAGCACTCTCGAACATGTCGGCTCTTTTGTCTGCTTGGTTTTTTAATTCTATAATCAGATCTTCTTTGAGGGTTTTCCTGATGTACCTTACGCTTGAGCTCAACTCTTCAAAGCCATTATCACATTTAATTTACTTAGGATTTCCGCATACGACGCCCCATCTTTTTTTTTTAGAATAATAGCGTCAGGCTTCGGTCTGACCCTGTTTTCGATCGGCTTCCACTTTTTAACTACGTCCACCCATTTCTCGCCTGCGGGCTTTTCTCTTGAGCTGTCTTTCTGTATTAGTTTGGTAACCCCACTATATGAAGCCTGCAATTTATCATCTGCGTTTTTAGGCTTTTTTTGTCCCCCCGTAGTCTTTTTGGGGTGTTTCTATCTTTATGAATAGAGAATACTTGCGACGCTTTCTCTACCATAACTCTTTTCGCTAGATTCTTTGATTTTTCAGCCTTGTCATACAGGCATGATATACCGCTTACAAGGTCGGGCATAGCTTGATTTATGTGTCTCTGACCAGATATCATACTTCCAAGCTCCTTGATTTTCATGTCCAGTTTGCTGAAAATAATGGCAGTTTCACTACTCTTGTCTTGCTCGATTTTACCACCATCACTCGTTGGGCGGCATTTCCACAAATTTCTGTTGGTCCAGCAGCGGTGGATTCCTCATTTTTTCCTTTTGGAGGCGTTCTCAAAATTTTAGAGTTCCTCCGAAAAGGATTCTCTGGTGTACACCCCACTTTATTTTCAGAGACCATACCTCTGCTAGACAATAGTTGGGAACACCTGTCAGTGGGTATGTTCATTCCTTTGTCCTAAAAAACCTTACTTATCTTTTTGATTGTTGGCAATGCCTTAACCAAAAGCAAAACGAAAAAGGAGAAACAAGGAAGGAGAGGCAAACGCGGAGAAACAGCTGATTGTTAAAAACAAAACGGCAGGTTAAAATTGTGTGCACGTTTTGATATGCTGTTATTGAGGGAAATTGTAACTTATTTTATATTTCAACAAATTTACCGCGAAAAAGGGTGGGCAAAAAAATTTTAATTTAATCTGATTTGTACTTATCTATTTATTTAGTCTCCCGGTATGTCACTAAGAAAAACTATATTGGTGTCACTATTCAAAACTAGGGGTATAAAGCAATTATTCCTAAAGCGCTAAGAAACATGTTCACTTCACTCAAACACAATATGTGTCAACATAATAAAAAAAAATTAAGTACTAGTTTGCTTGAAATTTTTTCTTTGCAATGGAGCCACTGACTCCATGCCAATGTCCGATCATTAACACTAGACTCGTACTAAAAGACCTATATCTCTTGCAAAAAAGGCGTCAAGGAAAGTTCAAAAATGCAATGATGTACATCGTAGCTGAGGACCCTACATTACTTAAACGCATCATTACTGGGGATTAAACGTGGCTTTATGAATATGACACCGAAAAAGACAAACAATCTAGCGAATAGTGCTTCAAAAAAAAACCACTCAAAATCGGTCAAAAATCAAAGGGTCAAACGGTCAATAAAAGGTGTCTACGTAAAACAATTCGTTCTAAACCACCAGATTTATGGTCAGAAAATTCATGGATTTTTCTCCACGATAATAGTCCGCCACACTCAAGTATAGTTGTGAATGCCACCGTATTCGCCATATTTTGTTTCCTACTCTTTTCTGTTTTCAAAACCGCTTCAAAGAACGCGCCGTGAGTCCATTGAAGCGGTTTTTATTTTACCGTTTTCGCATTCTTCTATTGTTTGTTTTGGGCTGATTTTTCGTACAACGCTAGTCGGTCTTGGGGTGTTTTTGCGCTTCGTGTAAGTATTTTTTTAATGTGCATAGTCTTAACGAGAATGATGAACTTTGTGTAAGTTTTACGTTTCAAAGTGATTTTCTTATATTTTATTTTTTTGTTTATATGCTTGGTTTTTCAAGTTTTAATACAAAGTAAGTGCTTTCAAACTTTACGCTGACGAAGAAATTGAAAAATGTTTGGCCACGTGTGACTATGAGTATAACCTATGCGAGGAGAAGACAACAGCGAATTGGAATCTGAAGCAGAGATCGAACAGAACGAAAGCTTCAGAACACAAGTTCATCAGAAGATTCAACCGACACAGATGAAGAAAACATATCAAAATAATTAGTTTACAGAAAATTATTTTGCGTGGGAAAAATAAACATAAGTGGTCAATGCGAAAAAGCAAGTCACATCGCTATGGTCTAAATGTTATACATCTACCTCGAGGACCGAATGCAAAAATGTAACAGATCCACTATAGGTTTCCAGTTTTTTATCACACTAAAAATAATAGAAGAAATAAATGGACTAACGTAGAAATTGTTAATCGTCAGAGCACTTTCCTTGTACAAGTATATACGGACGAAGCACATAGAAAACAAACTTCGTCGTATGAAATAGCAGTCCTTATTGGAATCTTAGTATTGACAGCCGTCAAGAAGGACCAGCATCTATCCACATGCGAATTGTTTGACAGATCTTACAGTGGAATTACCTACATAACAATAATGACAAGAGCAAGATTCAAATTTCGTATGTCTTACCTTCGATTTGATGATAAATCTGTACGCATTCAGATATCTCAAGACAAATTTGCTCCCATTAGGAAAATATGGCAGATATTTATTCAAAAATGCCGCGAAAATTATACGCCTGGAAAGTACCTTATGATTGACGAGCAAATATTAACATTCAGAAGCAAATGCGCTTTCCGAATGTACATTCCAAACAAGCCAGCAAAACATGCGTACAAAATGGTTATGTTGTGCAATAGCGGCACGAATTACATGGTTAATGCTATGCCGTATATGGGAAAAGGTTCAAACAAAACCAACCTTCCACTTGGCGAGTAATATGTAAAGAAATTGACAAAAACTGTACATGACACAAATAGAAACACTACAATGGACTTCATGGTTTACATCAGTTCCCCTTGCTAAATCACTTCATTCCGAGCCAATTAAGCTGACAATTGTAGGAACTCTTCGATCTAATAAGCGAGAAATTCCACAAGAAATGAAAAACATAAAAGGTAGAAACCAAAGACGAGCAAAATTATATATTTATTATCATCTTGTAATGAAGAAGCAGCAGTCAATGACAAGTCAAATAAACCCTACATGATCGAATGTTACAACAAAACTAAAGGAGGGGTTGATACATTTGATCAAATGTGTAGTGTGATGAGCTGTTCGCGCAAAGCAAACAGAATGAAAATGGGCTTTATAAATAGCTACATTATATATTCACATAATCGTTAGCACTTATTAGTATATACATAACTGTTATATGGGGAGTGGGCGTTGTTATTATTTGATTTAGCCCATTTTCACAGCATATGAAAATGACTTTCTCTCAGAAAATTGAGTTGAGTTAGCTTTAGCGGTTTGGAAGATATATACATTAAACCATTTAGGGGCGGAGTTACGCCCACCTTTAATTTCGTCAGAAACTGTTATCAAATTATTGCATTGTCATCGGTCCTTGGCACGTCCGCAAAGTTTCAAGTTAATCACACTTCTGGAAACCGGTCAAAATTGAGCTCTAAGATTCCATTACATACATACAACCCAAGCTAATAAAAGCGTATTAAAAACTTCACAGTCGCCCAGCTCTTATGAAAGAATTACATTCTTCAATTGTCATTTGAGAGATAGACTTCAAGTGCCAATATTATCTATGTCACTGCAATTGAATATTCAATATGTTATTGCTGTTGATAAAAAAAAATTAATAAATAAAAAGCAAAAATATAATATTGTAAATAAAAGAAAAATATGCGCATTTTGTCCCCCTATTAAGCGACGAATGACAAAATTATCCTGTGCAAAGTGCTAAAAAAGCCACTGTGGAGAGCATAAAATAGATCTTTGTGCATCTTGCTTAAAATGAAAACTATTGTACCTACAAACATGTTACTTATTTAGTTAATAATATTATTTTTAAGAAAAAGAACATATTGAATGAGATTTATGTACTGCAAGTTCTTTATTTTCAATGTTTTCCAACTTATCTTTTTTACAACAAGCCAAATGAATCAGAGCTGTGAAATTTTTAATTTTAATTAAAAGACTAAGGGAAACTATTTAATATTGTTCTATTTTTAAAAAGATATAAACATCATAATGTAACAATAATATTTTTTTTTGGGTTTTGATACACAGGTTAGTTTAAACATGCCTTTTGAAATTAGAGTAGTCGAATCGACAAAATATGTCCTATATAAAAATAACGATGAGCTTCCAGGTTATAGGTAGTTTTGCATTGGATGCTCATATTTCTTATTAATAATAAACAAATAAAATTAATAATAAACAAGTAAGGAAAAGCTAAGTTAAGATCTAACCGAACATTTCATACTCTTGCAACTTGCAAGGATCAAAGCCGGGAAATACCTGCAGGTGTTGGCAAAGCTTTATATTAAGAAATGTAGCGAAAATGTTCAACTTCACTGTTCGACGAAATGATGAATTGATGACAATGATGTCAAATTTTCTTCCATATGAGTGTCATAAATCGACAAAAAAGCGACAAAATAACATAACTGCCAATACAAGCTACCAAGCTGACATAAAAAGGAAATGTGCTGTGTGTCGTACCCACGTATGATTCTTTTGTTTTTACAAGCCTTACTTTATTTTGCTTTTAATGTTCTCTTTAGTTTTGTAGCTTATCCGAAAAGGAGAATCACTCTCCAAAACTGCTCAAACATATTTAATGAATTTTGACGTCCTACTGATCTGTTTTCCCTTCTCTCTGCTTAATCTCAACTTATTTTACAGATTCTTAACAACTTGTTTATAAAAAATTGTGCCGTCTGTAAAGACACCAAACGCTTTAATTGAAAAATATGTCGCTTGTTCGTCACTTTACCCATTTACGTATGCCCTCCGAAGCAACGGATGATAAGCGAACGATTGGAAAATGAGTGAAAGGCGAAGAACTTCATTTAATTATGTACCGACCAAAAGTTGCTATAAAGCGGGTCGACAGCACAAGGACAACAGCTGTTATCGTGTTACTTGCGATGGCCATTTTGGTCGTTAACGGTACAACCAGTAGAGGTGAGTGGAATGAACGCAAACCATATATGGAATATAATAACGAACAAAACATATGGTACAGATGTAAGAATGTGAACAATTACCAGAAATGCAATTAACAACGAAGTTGATAATTTAAATTTATGTAATTGTGGTTACATCGCCTCACAGTTCGGTGTTTAACATTTGATATCCTATATGAACAATAATTAGGCTGGTACTCAATTAGTAAATATAATATATTAAAATTTTCCTGGAAATGGTTTTCGAAAGTGCTTTGTTGTGAAATGATCCGGTCAGATATGAATTAAACAATATCGAATATAAAATCATGCAGAAGGATATGAGCGAGAAGTCAAAACTGATAGTGTTCGCTGTAGATCGTTGAAATCAAACTGCATATTGAATACTTTTTTTAATGCAAAAGAACTAAATTAGTTTTTTTAAAAGCATATTTTAAATATACTTTATACGCCTCCAAAAGAAACTTCAAAACTCTCAGTGGGACACGAAACACGTGAAAAAGCCAAACTCTTATTTAGCGCACTTACAGGTTGGTTGAAAAGTTTAAGCGCTCGAAATGGAAGAATACTGTTTTAGTACAAAATATATTGTATTTTTTATTCGATATAATCTCTCTTAATGCACTTACTTCAATAATGACTTTCCGGAAGCGCTGCAAAATACCCGTCTATGGTACGTCATAATAATAAAACGATGCAAGAAATCAGTCTAATTCTGCTTAAAACGCTCCAAATTATTCTGAGAAATTTGTTTTTGATGCAGTTTTTGTTGAATTGTTAACGTGTGTGGAACTAATCATATGAAATACTCCATTTAAAATATGAAGTCCTGGTTCGACTGAGATGCCTATGGCATTAGCATTTTCACGCTTAGTTAAACTTGAATATTCACTAACAATTTTATGAACTTGCTCAATGATTTCTGGTGTGGTTGCGATTTTTGGTCGTCCTTCGCGCGGATCGTCTCCAAGCCTAGTACGACCACGTTTAAATTCACCAGCCCAAAATTCAACGTTGCATTTTGAAGGTGAGGACTCCTTATACACTTCTAACAATATTTTGCAGAATGTAAATTTGCCCGTATTCTTACGACAGATGTACCAGTTTGAAAAAAAAACAAAAATTGGAGCTAATAGTGCTATTTCTTAGTGACAGTAGAAACGTTTCAACCAACCTGTTTATATGTTCTGCTTCTGTTTACAATAACTTGAACTGATTCCAGGTTATGAATTTGTGTTCATTAAAATTAAAAACAAAATACCAAACTTATATAATGTTTTCACAGAGTACTTTAATCTGTTTGACCTTCTCTTGAGTAATTTCATCTAATATAAACGAATTAAGGAAGCCTACATCTTGAACTACATTTGTCTGCAGTTTAATTCTTATTTACGGATGCCATAATGCCATAGGTATACTATAGACAATTCGAATCTCTAAATTGAAAATGTATTAAATTAAAAACGATTTAAGAATTGGATAACCGTTATTATTTTGTTGATTACGTTTTTTGTAGGTTAAGTGTAATATCAGTTGATTTACTTGAGATATTGAATTTTAACCGTATTTTATACTTACATTGATTTATGTATGTTAAAAAGTTAACATTAAGTAAAGACGAAAAGTCAAACTTACAACGTGTACCTACTGCAGCAACAACAGCAGCAGCGACAACAGAACAGCATTGTCTTCTGTCATTGCTCGGTGCGGGGTTGTATTTACTACACTAGTTGTTGTTGTGCAAAATAAAACGCAACTTATTGTCTGACCGCCCGTAAATTTTGATAAAAACGCCCTTTTCGCACTACTTGTCTGCTTTCACCTCTGTATCCTCTATATTTAACGGAACTCGCTTGATTTCACCCGCTCATCTCCGTTCCCATCCAAAATAACTCAGGCCAGCGGCGACTGGCAGTTTTTTCAAGTGGTTATTGATTAGATTTGTTCGAATGACTCTCGCCTCCTTCAGTGATTGTTGCTTTTATTGTTTCTACTTCTATTTTGTATTTGATTTTCTATGTTGGTGAAGTTGTTTCGCTTTTTGTTCTGTAATATGCATTGTTCATGCTGCGGTTTATATTATATTTCAGTTTCATGCTGGTACTCTGGCCAGCCACTGGATCCCACAATGGTGAATTATCTTTTCTACGCAATACGTAACTG